GAGGGGAAGCTCCAGGAGAGGTGCTGACAGCAAGCAGAGGCAGGAAAATGGAGCAAAGCCAGCTCTGGGTGCAGGGTCTGGAAGCTTGTGCTTATCCACCAGCCACCCCAACACGGCTGCGTAAATGAAATCCCGTTGAAGGGCATATTCAGTCTCCCGGGACTAGCAGGGGAAGTGGGGGGCGGGGGGCAGGGCCATCCCACGCATGGCTGTGACACAGCGATGAAGGGTTTGGGGCAAAAGCCCTGGCTTCCCTGAGTCCCTGCCCCCCCTTCTTCCTAGCTGAGACGCTTTGGGCAATCATTTTATGCATTGGAGCCTCATTCCTGGCCCACAGGACTGCAGCAAAGATTAAACAAGATAGCGGATGCCAACGTTCTTTGAACGCTATTAAGTGCTGAGCAAATGTAAAGGTTTTTGTTTTTGTTTTTGAGGTCTGGAGAGAGTCCATGGGTGTGGACCCAGCAGACTAATACGAAGAAGAATAAAATAGCTAAATATCTCAGGAGTGTATCCAGGCTAAGTGCTTTCTATTTCATCCCAATGACCTCAAGACTGCTCTGTCCAAACGATAGCCACTGGCCACGTGTGGCTATGGAGCACTTGAAATGCGGCTGGTCTAAATTGGGATGTACCGTAAAGGTAAAAGTCCACACGGGGGGGTTCAAACTTAGTATGAAAAAAATGTAAAATACCCCTAATAATTTTTATATCAATTACTTGTTGAAATGGCAACATTTTAGATAGACGGGGATAAATGAAGTACACTTTTCAAATGTATTCCATCTATTTCTTTTCTTTTCTACCTGCTCCTTTTTCTTTTTTTTTTTCCAACGTTTTTATTTATTTTTGGGACAGAGAGAGACAGAGCATGAACGGGGGAGGGGCAGAGAGAGAGGGAGACACAGAATCGGAAACAGGCTCCAGGCTCCGAGCCATCAGCCCAGAGCCTGACGCGGGGCTCGAACTCACGGACCGCGAGATCGTGACCTGGCTGAAGTCGGACGCTTAACCGACTGCGCCACCCAGGCACCCCACCTTTTTCTTTTTTTAATGTGGCTACTGGAAAAAAATTTAATTACACATACGTGGCTCACATTATATTTTTTAGTGGGCAGCACGGTGCAAAAAGGTATGGGACTGCTATTATCCCCATTTTAAAGGCAAGGAAGAGGTAGAACAGAGAGGTTAAGCAACTTGCCCCCAAATCACACAGCTAACACAGGTGTGGGAATCAATCGCAAGCCTTTAGACTTAGTAAGAAGTGACTCCCGGCCCTCCCTGCTGCACAGCCCGGGGGCTGTGGATACAACACTGGGGTGGTAAGAAAGCAAAGAAGGGCTTGGAGAGCTCACTTCGCTCACTCGGAAACTTCAGAAGGACTTGCAGAGCCATCTTGGGAAATATCTGTGAGCTACCTAATGCACTGTAGGTTTTGCTCTTACCTGATCCAAGGGCTCAGTACAGACCCCCACCCCAGGCCAAGCACAGCATTGACAACCTCGCAGGACAGGACTGACTATGGTTTTGGAATCTCCCGGTTCCAATCCCAGGCATGCCTTCACCCAGCTAGGTGACTTTGGCTCCGCCTCAGTTTTCTCATCCGCAAAGGGGGACCATCACCACCTCGGGAGCTTGTGTGAGGCGTCAGTGAGATCCCACAGAATATGTTCAATACGAAACAACAGCCCCGCCCCCCTCCCCCGAGCGCCCCCAGACTGAGACGGGAGTAGGGAGGGGGCTGTGGCCTGGACTCTGTGTCATTTGATACGAAGTCTTCTACCCCTAGGGTTGCTGTTTCTGACCCACCCAACCCCAGCCGTTACCTGAGATTCTCCCCTCCCTCGGAGCACTGGAAGTCCAGGCCCTCCGGCTGCGAGCCCACAAAGGTGTGCAGGTGGGAAAGCTCCAAGGCTCGCCATAGATCTGCCTCCGAGTAATACCCAAAGGGGTCCAGGTTCATACGTAGGGACGCGGAGAACAGGATGGGGTCCTGGCGACACAACAAG